CGGGAGGTTGGGGGCTGAGGATGAGGAAGAGGGAAACAGTGAGAGGAAGGAGAAGGAGAAGGAGAAGGAGAAGGGTGGTTATGTGATGGGGCTTTTCGATGCAAAGTTTAAGTTCTCATTTTGTATGCAGTTTCCTGAGAGACCTGTGACTGAGTGCTTCTCACACTTTTTAGTAAAATTTGACAATAATTTGGTGGTTTTGATTTTATGTAGGTTGAAAGATGATAATTTTTTTTAGTAAATTTAGTAATTGTTCAAGTTGGAATTGATAGACGAGTTTATGGTTGTGTTATTGCTCTTGATATATGTTGAAATTTATGCCAAAGCTTGAATTTTGCTGTTATTGGTAGTATGCTAGTTGCTATAGTGTCCGTTAACATTTAAGTATGCTTTTTGCTGAAGTAAATAAGCTGTTTTGTATCAATGTGTTTGTATCTCTGCGATAGGTGCCTTCCGAGATGCACCCACCTCCAAAGGACTATTATCTAGATTCATCAAAAGTCTACTCGGACATTTAATGCACCGCCATCTTGATACAGGTTTCTATTTTTGGCAAGAAAAATTCCTTAAGGACCGCAAAATATGGGACCAATAGGGGGGACAAGTGAGGTGTCCCCTTCCTATTAGATAATGAGTTGGCCATCATTAATGATGGCCAACTCATTATCTAATAGGAAGGGGACACCTCACTTGTCCCCCCTATTGGTCCCATACTTTGGGTCCCTGTAACAAAGCTCTTTTGGCAATGGCATACAACCAGAAATCCAGATAACCTAGTCAATATTTAGAAATGCCTTATTGAATAATTTATAAATTACTATTATTTCAAGTTACAGATTTTTGGGTCACTTTGATTATACTAAATTAGGGAAACAGTATCATGGAATACGTCTCATGGCTTGGGATAACCATAAACTAACCAAGGTTGGTTTCCAATCTTATATGTAAAACAGAAGATGAAACGCTAATGATATGATTACATGCACTTTGAGAGGTCAAAAGGCAATAATAAGGAAAGTATCTCGCAATAAAAGTTACTTATCTACTTGATTACTGTAATTTTAATAATTTTTGTTTCTAATAAATTTGTACTACAACTAGAAATTCATCCAACTAACTTAAAACTGTGCAGGCAACATTGGCAACACCAGCAGTTGGGAAAATGGTGAAAGGACTAATAATATGTTACTTGATAATATTTCTAAATTTCTACCCAGCTGCAGTATTAGGATATTTGGCATTTGGAAATAAAGTTCGCTCAAATGTCCTCAACAGCCTAATTCCAGAAAAGGTCCCTCGCTAGCTCCTACTTGGTTACTCGGACTCTCTGTAGGGTTTGTGCTTCTCTAGCTCCTTGCAATTGATCTGGTAATATTTCAACTGTTTAATAGCATATATCCCTTATATGTACTATTATGATGTAACCATTTATACTCCATGAACTTTTGGTTCTAGTCTATGTACCCCTTGAATCACACTTAGTTATTAAAATACACATGAAATAGTGAATACACCTCATACACATTTAACTCTCTTTCGGTATCTAGTATAAATATTATCAAATTCTATTGTAAATTACTGTCTGATGAGGATCAAGTAAATTAACAGGTCTACTCTCAAGTTACCTATGAAATCATGGGAAAAAGTTCAGCAGATGAAAATAAAGGGATTTTCTCAAAGAGGATCCTTGTGCCGAGGATAATCTTAAGAACACTATACATGATGTTTTGTGCGTTTATGGCTGCAATGCTCCCTTTTTTTGGCAATATTGTGGGCGTCGTAGGGGCTACTGGCTTCATCTCTCTTGATTTCATACTTCATATGTCTCTCTAAAATATGACCCTTAAACCTGAATGAAGATTATTTATCTTCTGGTTTAATATTTTTATTATGATAGTCTTCAATGGTGTTGGATTCATGGGTGCATTCTCTTCTACAAGGAAGCTCAATCTTAATACTAGCCAATCTAAGCTCTTTGGCAATCATGTAGTTAAATAGAAAACAAGTGATATCAATTTGATTATGATGTTGAATAATGAAATAGTACGTATTCTAATCCATCTCCTAAAGATCACTTGACATTCGGAAATGCATTTGGATATTTAACTATCTATTTGGATAGCCACATAATTGGTACCCATCCCAATATCTTCAACAGAAGGATTTTACGTATCTATATCTGTTAAAGCATAAATAAGGAATTGGATACAGGTCAGAATACCTTATTTTCATTTACAATCAGAACATTGTTACACTCATGCTTGTTGTTTTAGCAAATACTTTCCACGATTTGGACCTATATCGCATACAATGTATCTTACTTCAAAATGATCTTACATGAGACTATTCAATAAGCCTAATTGCTTGTGTTATGTAAATTTAATTTTTTGCTGGACATATATTTACGTATTCAACGATATATCATCAGTTTTGTTTAATATATTATCAAACTTCACATAATTCTAAAATATAATCAATTGGACCTTCAAACTGGAGACACTAGAGACAATGGAGGGAGTAGCAACCCGTTTTCGTACGAGGGATAGAGACGCTGCCAACGATGACAAGATGTGAGGTTTTTTATTTTTAATGTAATGAACAACTTTTTATTTGTAATAGTACTCTACTTTTATTCATGTCGTGTACTCTATGTTATTCATCTCGTGTTATGGATGGACTTGATATTGCCAATATATATGTTTTAAATATTTAGATAATATAAGTTATTACTAAAATGGATATTGACGTAGATTGTTGAATGTGTATATTGGACTGGATTGTTGGATGTGTATTTTGGATTGAATTGTTGGATGTGTGTATTGGATATGAATATTGATTATATTGGATTGGATGTGTATAATAAATATACAGAAATTATGTATTTATGCGTATATCGTGAATGTAATATAATGTACAAGGAATCAAAGTTTTAAAAGATTTTTTATTTATTGTTGGATGTGTATTTTGGATTGAATTGTTGGATGTGTGTATTGGATATGAATATTGATTATATTGGATTGGATGTGTATAATAAATATACAGAAATTATGTATTTATGCGTATATCGTGAATGTAATATAATGTACAAGGAATCAAAGTTTTAAAAGATTTTTTATTTTTTATTTTTTTATTTTTTTATTTTTTGGGGGGGTGGGGGTTGTTGGGAAGAGCAACCTAGACGGAATTTTCGTCTAGGTTGCTATAGTAGTAACCTAGACAAAAATTCCGTCTAGGTTGCTATAGTAGCCATCTAGGTTGCTACAATAGCAACCTAGACGGAACTGTAGTAACCTAGACGGAATTTTCGTCTAGGATGTTATTGTAGCGATCTAGACGGAATTTCCGTCTAGTTTGCTACCTAGACGGAATTTCAATATCCGTCTAGGTTGTTTTTCGTCTAGTTTGAGCAACCTGGATGGATTTTCGTCTAGTTTGTCTAAAACTAGACGAATTTCCGTCTAGTTTGTCTAAAACTAGACGGAAATATCCTGGACAGATTTTTGTAGACAGATTTCCGTCTAGGTTGATCAACCTAGACGAAATTCGGAGCAACCTGGACTGTTTTTTCCGTCTAGGTTGCGCGTTTTTCTACTAGTAAATTTCTTTGACTCAAAGCTTTAGTTTCCCAGGCTCTTCCCAGGATCTTTATATCCTTTAACTCTCATTTTTGTGAATGAATAAAATTAATTTCACACACCAAAAAGACAAGATTTTGTTAGATATAGGTGCCCTGCAGGCAATTATTGTATATTGTAACAGGACCTATATGTATATAAC